CGGTCGTCTGCCATCGATGCGAGAGGAGCCCAGAGGCTGAGCAGCCTGCCTGCTCGGGAATTCGGGGTCCCCGCGGGGTTCCACGAACCAGGCGGCAGAGGTTTCCCCCCGCTGCCTGCGCGCGGGGCCTGCAGAACCCCCAGGTGAGCGGTGAACTTGGCGCCCCGGCCGGGCTGGCAGCTCTCTTGCTGCATTATGGTGCCCTCCGATGGCTGATTCCGGAACAGCCTCTGTGTCTCAGCTCCTATGGCAAGCTTGCTAGGGGAAAAACCCTGGGGCCAAATTTGGGAACTTTATTTATTCTAAAAGTTCGATCACGTTTAAAAAATAATAAGAAAAAAATGTAATGTAACAGTAGTAATTGGAGTCTTATCTCTCACTTCTCACCTAAGTTAAGAAGAATTTTTGACACAGCAATTTTCCCCTAACCTTAACCTTGTCTCATCACGAGGCACTTGTTTGTTAAAAATACACCTTTCTAGGGCCAGCCCGTGGTATAGTGGTTGAGTTCACCCGCTCTGTTGTGGTAGGCCCAGTTGGCTGTTCAGACCAGGTGCAGACATACACACCGCTCATCAAGCCACGCTTGGCAGTTTCCCACTTGCAAAATAGAGGAAGACTGACATAGACGTTAGCTCGGTGACAAACTTCCTCAAGCAAAAGCAGGAAGATTGTGGCAACAGATGCTAGCTCAGGGCCAGTCTTCCTCACCAAAAAAAATAAACAAATAAAAAATACACATTTCTGTGTTCCACTACAAGGTACTTAATCAAAATATCCAAGGGTGTGGCCTGGGGATTCTGTATTTTAACAGGACCCCCCCCCCACCCCCAGGCAATTAACAGAATCAAGCTAATTGCGGAAACTCAGCTCTGGGCAATCACAGTGCTCTCAAAGAGCAAACCACCCTCAATGTCACCTTTCTTGAGGAATCCCTTGTTGCCACAAGGCCTCAGAGACTTGTCAATGCCCTTGAGAGGGAGTGGGGCACCCAGCAGAGACACTGGCCTCACAGGTGGGAGACCCGGCTCTGCCGTGACCAGCTGTGGGACCCTGGGTCATCATGTCACTTCTCTCCATCTCTGATTCCTCCTTTAGAAAGTGGAACCAGTGTTCCCTACATTCGCTGCCTCAGTAAATTAATGGGAGCCTCCAAGGAATTGCTGAACATTAAAATGTATTTAGGAAAGTATCCACTCTCGGCGGCGGGCTTAGAGCCAGCTTGTAATGGCAGCGAGAGCTGATTGGCAAAGTTTTAGGAATTTTTTTGAGTCAGTTAATAAACCATTGGTGTAGCTCAAAATGGGCAATGGTAGAAGTATTTATCCCATGGAAATTGAGAAATGGTAAAAATTAGGGTTTTTTTCACCTGGAGAGCCGGTTGTTAGTCATTTAGCAGCACACCACTAAATGTGTGGGCTGGTCAGGCTCCTTTGCTTCCAAGGACATTATGGCCATGGAAAGCCTGGGCCCAAGTGCAAGTCTGGACAGGAGGAGCTGGGTCATACCTTCCCTCCTCCACCCGAAACAGCTCTTTGGCCACAACAGCTGCAGGGCTCAAGGCTCAGCCTCTCTCCCAAGGTCCCTCAGGGGTCACTGCTAAGGGCCAGGCCCTGGGAGACACATTTGACTTGAAGCCCCAGCCTACTGCCCCAGCAGAGTCTAAAGTTTGAGGACAGTGACAGGCCTGGAGGAATGCCAGGGGCTATGTGCCCTGCTCCTTCGTCACCAAGTCAGGGATTCAAGGGAAGATTTATAACATATGTGCATCAGGAGAAGGGCACTGGGGCGGGTCGTCGTGAGCCTCCTTTGAGGTTGGTGTAGGATCTTAATTTTGACCTTATTAATTAGACCTCTATGTCTTCTCTTGAGAAAGAAGCCACCTCTGTCACACATTATGCTTCCAAGGCCAAGTTCTGCAGAGTCTGCCTCCATCTCAACCCTCAGAGCTGACTCTCAAGCTGCCCTTTGGGGAATACAAATGTTAATACATGAACTCTAAGGCCAGATACCCGAGAGACAGCTGAGTCACGCAGGCTGTCACATACAGAAGGAGCATCGGGAGCGCCTCCCCAACCCCTGCAGCCCAGGGTCTGTCCTTCCCTTCCTCAGCCCAAAGCCTTGGGGTGCACAAGAGGAGCTAAGGAGGCTCCTGCTCTGAATCTGGCCTCCAGGTACGCTGCCACTGAGAAGACAAGGAAGAATTGAGCTTATGTAGACCCAGCTATACAGGTTAAATCTCTTGAGCCGGGCTAGGATTAGAATTGTCCTCTTGGGGGGAAGGAGGTCTTCAGGATCCACAAGGCAATCAATCAACAGCTTCTTCCGACTTGCTTTGTGCAAGGACCTCTGGGGAATACCAAAGCTCTAAGATGATTTGAGCCATCGAGTGACTTAAATCATATGGGGGCTGTTCCTCTCCAGCCATGAGGCAAGTTCAATAATGAGGCAAGACAACTGCATGCAGAAGAGCAATGTGATTGATTGTCATGGGAGTGTTATGCGTCCAGAGTTAGAGGTCTCTGTCAGATGGAGAGGACAGAGAAGGTTGTTGGAAAGCTGGTCTGGGATTAAGGGAGGACAAGATCGAGCTCCTCAGGGAAGGATAAGGGAAAACGAATTGAATGAAGACACCGGTCTCTGGGTGTTAAAGAGACCCACCACCAAGCCTGTTTGGCTGGAGTTATAAGTAAGAGTCAGTTATAAGGACTGTCAGGTTGGCAAGGCAAGTTGGAGTAATGCTGAGGAAGGCTGAGTATTGACAGTGTATTTGTTTTCTTTTGCTGTGTAACAAATTATCACAAATTTAGTGGCTTAAACAATACTCATTTTTTATTTCACAGTTTCTGAGATCAGAAGTCTGCGCACAGTGCAGGTGGGTTGTCTGGTCAGGGCTGGAACCAAGGAGTTCTAGAACTTGGAGTCCTCTTCCAAACTCATTCAGGTGGTTGGTAAAACTCAGTTCCTTGCAGTTGTGGGCCTGAGGTCCCTACCTTCTTGGTGGCTGTCAACCAGGGGCTCTTCTCAGCTCTATAGGCCTTTTGCTGTTCCCTGACACACAACCTTTTCAAAAACACAGCAATTTTCTCATTCAAGGCCAGCAGGAAATTTTTTCATACTTTGAATCTCTCTGAATTCAAGAAAGGCCTAGTCTCTTTTAAGGGCTTACCAGATTAGGCCAGGCCCATTTAGGACTATCTTCCTTTTCATTAACTCAAAATCAATTGATAGGAGTAATATTACATCATATTCACAGATTCGGCCTGTATTCAATGGGATGGGATCCTACAGGGCAGAAATCTTGGGGGACATCTTAGAATTCTGCCTATCTCAGGGATAGGGTGAGGGGGTGACGTGATGAAATCTATTTTTGGAACCTGGTGGTAAGGGACCAGCTGGGATACTGTGGTCATCACACAGAGCAGGTAGTAGGAAATAGATGTGTGGATAAATGGGGAGGGCATCATAATGGGCAAATTATAGGACCTGATGTCCATCTGTCTAAAATGTCCTTCCCATACCTTACCTCATGGTTGGCTCCCTCTTACCCCATTCATTTGTCTGCCCATTCTATATTGGTTTGCCCCTTCTTTACCACGTCCTTTATCCTCAAACATGTCACCCAGCTTACTTCTTTCATGATACTCTTCTTTTTATGTTAACTTCTTTTTTTGTCCATCCACTCCACTCAGCTCCAAGCTCAATAAGGACAAGGACAGTGTCCCAGTTGCACGTCTCTATATTTCCAGAATAGAGGCTGGCACTTGGGAGGGACTCAATAAATATTGAATGAATGCAAGATTAAATGAATGAATGAGTAAATGATGCAGAAGGGTCAAGAGGGAGTCAAAAGGCCTGAGTATTGGATCTGGATGTCTTGAAAAAAACAGGAAGTAGAACCAGATTAAGGGATGCAAGGAGGTAGGGAGATCTATTTCAGATAACTTGCGTTTGAGACGACCGTGGAACAATTGTCCAGGTAAGTCCCACAAGCAGCTGGAAATGTGTGTGAGGAGTTGCCACAGAAAAGACAGCAATGTCCAACAAAAATAAGGAACTATGCTTTGACCATGTAAAAACATGTGCCATAGACTGAATGTTTGTGTCCCCCCAGAATTTGTATGTTGAAATCCTAGGCCCCAAAGTAATGGTATCAAGTGGTGGGAACTTTGGGTGATGACTAGGTCATGAGGGTGGAGCCTTCGTGAATGAGATTAGTGCCCTTAAAAAGAAACCCTAGAAAGCTCCCTTGCCCCTTATGCCATTCAAGGACACAATGAGAAGATAGCTGTCTGTGAGCTTGGAAGTGGGCCCTCACCAGACACTGAATCTGCTGGCACCTTGATCTTCGACTTCCTAGCCTTATGAACTGTGAAAAATAAATGTTTGTTGTTTAAGCCACCCAGTCTATGATGCTTTTGATCTAGTAGCCTGAACATACTAAGACAGCTGAAAACTGGATGTTAAAATAAGCCTTCACTGGCTATTACTTATCTCTATTATCAAAATCTCTGCTACTTGGAATAGCTGTCACTATGAGGGTTGGAATGTATTTTAGGATACAAGCAGGGGTCACCATCCTCTTTGGGTGCAATTCTACCATTATCTCAAAACTGTGGGAGAAATTAAGGGCACACAGACCAGCGTGGAGAGTCAGGGTTAAGGGTATGTGAATATAAGGCTTGGATATGCTGGCCCATCAATCAGCTCTGGTAACGAAGTTCTCCAGCAGCAACGCAGTGTTGTTGTAGGAACTTTTTTATTCCTTCTTCCTCTCTCTGCTCGGCCCCCTCAATGAGTTCTTCATGTATCTTATCTCAGCCTTTCTACTGTATTCATTCAAAAAGCCTTTTCTGTTTAACTTTCTCCAACCAGATTATTTTTCTCATGCCACATGTATTGACCTGATTATGTCTCTAGTGACCTCTTTCAGCTTGTCTTTTGAAGAGTTCTCCCATCCTTTCCTGTCATGTCTCTCCTCTCTCCCCTTCCTTTTACAGGTACACTGCAGTGGTCATGCCGGTTCACTACCAACATGGCACTGGACAGAGCTCCTGCCGGCGTGTGGCCCTCATGATTACAGCCGTCTGGGTACTGGCCTTTGCTGTGTCTTGCCCTCTCCTCTTTGGCTTCAACACCACAGGTATCAATGACGGCCCCACTTCCAACTCCCTTGTGATTCACAGCACACCTGAGTCGCTGTGAGTGGTGCTCAGCCCTGAAATTTCTGACCCATGGTCAGTGCACTCTGTAATCCAATGAGGATGCCATAGACTGCACAGCTTTGGCCTTTGTTGATTATAAATAAAGCATAAAGCAAAACCTCATCAATTATTGGCATGAGAGTAAAGTTCTGCTCCAATTAGTGAAAAGTCTGGCTTATCTCTATTTTGAAAGAAATGTTATTGTATTCATTTGAAGAAATGTGCCAGATAAAAAACTAAAATGTATTAATAATTCAGGTGAGGTTTGCTAATGAAAAGATGACAGTTCATAAAGGACTTACAATGCAAAAAACATATCATAAAAGCCTTCGAGTAGGATATAGGTTTCTAACTTTTTACTCAATAAGAATCATCTGGAATTTGGAAATAAGTATGGATTCCCAAATTATTGGAAGATGTATTTCTTATATTTTAGTATACAGAAATTCTGACCATGATGGTTGGTCCATGGTACATCGTCTATTGGCTGGATGGATGGACGGATGGATGGTTGGATGGATGGATGGATGGACAGATGGGTGAACAGTGTGTATGTCTGAGATGTTTGGGATTTTAGACATAAGACGCTAACTAAATTTACACCTCATGTGGATCAGGGCCTTCTGTGTCTGTTCCATGTCTGTCTTTCAGTCTCAGGAATTTCATGTGTTGAATGAAAACTATTAGCACACATAGAAAAGTTATGAGTATTGACAATAAACACTGAGTGTTTGCTAAAAGAGAACTGATTGACTCATGTTCTAGTGTTCCTCTGGATTGGTTCATTCAATTCCCACTGTGTTGCAGGTTTGTGAATTTCTGGTATATATGTATAAGTCACATAGCTGTGTGTTTATATGTGTGCAGACATTATATGTAACATATATAAATACAGGCAAATCCTAACTTATAAATAGTCTTCAAAGAGTCATTTGCTGGACAATGATTTAGAGGTCAAAACTGCCTAAATTTAGGAAGACAGAGGCTCTCTGGTCAGAAAAACCTAGATTCAAACTCCAGTACTGTTACTCACCAGCTGTGTCTCCTTGAACACATTTTTTGACTTTTCTAAATTAAGTTTCCTCATTGACAAATTTGAGATAATACAGTGGAGCATACACTTGAGCAAATTCAAATATATGGACTCAGGTTATGTATTTAGTTAGGGAGTTTTCAGTATTTATTTATACATATGGCCCCTTGCAAATAAGCCCAGCAACTTTATCTCTAAAGTCACAGGTTGCACTTGAATTCTTTATAATATATGACATGTTACTGCATATATCGTACATGTTTGCTTATTACTTTTCAGGGCTGTAATAAAACCACGTATATCTTTATATGTGATTCAGGGGATTTTTCACAGCAAATTTCAACTCTATACAATTTTCACTTTACTGATTGACTTTAGACTAACCCTACCAATGATATAACTCCACTCTACCTCCTTCATAGAGCTTTTTTACAATTAAGTGAGGACTAAATTGGGATAACGTACATTGACATGCCAAGCACACACCACCTGCTCAAGGTCAGGCTTGTTTCTCTGCCATATTGAAGGTTAAGTAGCCAAGTTATCCAACAAATATTTGCCTGGTTAACTCAGGGTTTCCTAAAATATGATGTTGTCATCGTCTCTGCATTACTCTTTACCCTTAGTTACTTTATTATTTTAACTGAATGACGTTTTCTACACACAGACATGTGCACACACACACATGCCAGAGCAACTTTCCCTAACACGACTATAGAGGCTCACTCTGGGGCTAAAATACCATTTTTGATGAGTGTTAAATGTGCTTTTTGGGTTAGTGTGATACCTAAGCCATCTGCTACATCCTAGTTTCTGTATAAAAAGGCATTCTAAGTCAGAACGTGTGGTAGGGGGCACTCCTACCACTGCTAGACCGGGGAACTGCTTACCCCCAGGCCAGCAGCAGATCCCCACCAACGTGTTCTGGGCCGAGTGGTTCCCCTTACTCACTCCTGGAGGCTGGCAGGGGCGGTGCTACTCACTCACACACACAGACACGCGCACACCCTGGGCACAGTTAAAACAGTCTCCAAATCTGACGTGAGACAGACTTCCCAGTTACTGTCAACATCTAAAGTCGAGAAGAATGATGAGCTAATTGCAGTGGTGTTGCCACCGGTGACATCACTATTATTCCAGAAACAAAACTCAGAAAAATCTTTCCAAAAGGGTTTTCAAATATAGAATTGAGAAGGCAGAAAAGGTCCATGACTTAGCATGTGCACGCTCACTTCTCTCTCATCTTTCTCATTCCTCTCCTACTTTTAACTTTATTAATAAGATTATATAGTAAGCCCTCCACTTATTTATATATTGTGTCCAAGTGCCAGGTCCATTGTAAGAGGCCGATAGATATTAACTAGTGTTATTGTTATTATTATTATTATTATTAGGTATTAGAAAAGATCTCTGTGCATCAAAATTGACTACGCATCTGCTCCAAGGAAAATCTGAACACTGGTAGCTCTGCTAGTGGTCAAAGGGACCAGTCACCTCATCCGGGAACACAGTTCAGGGAATTAGTGAGCAGAACTCAAGGCAGACAAGCCCAGCCATCCTTCTCTGCCTCAGTCTGACCTTCACAGTGCAGCTTCATTATCTTGATAGATGTGGGTTCCTCCAGCACCTCTTCCGTCTATATGGAAGTTCCCAAGTTCATTTGAAAGCTCAATATAAATGACTTCTCTCTGCCATTTTTTTCTGATCCCTCTGTGGAAAGCAGAGGAGAAATGGCAGGATACTACCAATGATACCTGATCTTGGAAGCGGCTGGACGTTCACTAAGAAGTGCAACATGACAAAGAACTTTCTGGCAGAGCTCTTCTTTTAGTGAAATGGGCTGCCACATGGGATTGTGAATTGTCGGAGAACATAAGGTAGAGAAAGGTCAAACTTCAGTTTCTTCCAACTTGGAGTTGCTCCTATTGTCTAGGAAAAGGTCAACATGCATTTCTGGGTGCGCACATAATGCAGGGTCTTGGGTCACAGAGAGTTCCAAGGCTGTGGGGCCTGGCTGACCAGTGTTGCCCCAGTGCCCAGCAGAGGCCCAGCAGTCTGGCCAAATATACAGCAGCAGCAGCCCCTGACAGCAGTGGAGAATGCAACGTTAGTGCTAAAGGAAACCCTGAAGATTCCCAAATGAGCAGCCCCATGCCTTCATTTCACAGATAAGAAAACTAGCTAATAGTTAAATTTCTGCTAAATCAGATAGCTATTGTGTTATAAAAAAATTCTACAATGAATACGCAATAGCTGATGACAAGGGTTTTAAAAACCTTCAAGAGAGGAAAATCTTAAGGTTAAGAAAATCCTATCAGCTGTCTTAACTTCCCTTTGAAACAAGGCAATGGAGGAGGGCTATTTAGATTTGAGCAATAGAATGCCTCCCCTGGCTTTCAGGACTCTGGAGCTGGTGGGAGTTTGGTTGAGAAGCACAAAATTAAACAGATAATAGGCTCATCCTAAAATCAGATTCACCAGGATCTTCTATCTTTGGAAACAAGTTAAGGGCAAATCTTCAGTGAGTTTGGAGTGCACAAATCTCTCCAGTCAACTGCTTTTGGCCTTGCTGTTCACATCACTGTGGGACTCAAGTTCCCAGGCTAGCCCACAAAAGTCTCCTTGACCCCTTAGTAGAGCTATTTAGTGTTTTTGTCACCCAGCACAGTGCATTGAACAGAGTAGGTCCTCCATAAACTTTTGTTAAATGAGTAAGTGGATGAGTCCTCATCCTCATTGCTTTGTCCTAAAATGTTGAGATTAGTCGGGATAAACATCCCCACTCTCAGAGAATGAAGAGTAACCCCCTGGCCTTCCCCATTATCCTCCAGCCAGTGACTGCCTGTGTGCTTGCATAAATGTTCATTTGTTCACTCTGCTCGTTTATTCATCGTTCAGGTATTCATTCAGTAACTGTTGTGCTGATGGCACAGTACTGTTTTGGGTAAATAATCAGGACAAGCCACCTCATCTCTTGGGGAAGCCTCAGCTCCTGGGCCTCACTGCCCTCACCACCTCCTCAGGACTCAGCAGAGAGAAGTTTCTGGAGTGGCTGGTGTGTGGTGCTTTACTCTGTCTTGCTGAGAGGACGCATACCCAGGCCAGCCCTGGCAGAGGCTTGGGCAGGGCCCACTCACTGGCCACCCGCCTGCAGCATTGATCTGCCTGTTGACAGGCCTCATGGGACTGCATAGCATGGGAAATCCTGGGCGGGGCTGCAAAGCCCAACCTCAGGGCCACAACAGTTCACTGAGACACAGGAGGCAGGAAGGGATGACAGCACAGGCTCAGCAATCGATGGTGTCTGAGGGCCTTCATGGACCAGCGATCCTGAAAGAGCTACGGGCTCCCTCTTCACTCTCTCTCATACATATGCTTTCAATGGTTTTAATGGAAAAATAAATACTTGCACATGATTAAACATAAGCTGTAAGGGGATACACACACACACTTATATGTAGGTGTCCCTTCTCCCCTAGATTGCTAATTCCCCATCTCCCCCACCAGAAGCAAACACTCATATTCTTGAAAGATAATGCTTGAAACAAGCATTATCGTCTGTGTGTGTGTATATGCATGTATATATACAATGTATTGTGTATTTTTACACACATAGAAGCATATTGTACCCATTTTTCTCCTTGCTCTTTAAAAGTAGTAGTTAATATATAAAATTTAGAGGTCAGCCTCCCAGAATCCAGAGGAGGGTAGAGAAGGGTCAAAGGTGTATCTGGAAGGACAGATGGGGAATAGCCAGCACACCAACAATGGCAGCAAGATGAGTCGTGGCAGAGTAGCCCTGCCACCCCTCTGGGCCCCTTCTCACTAGCAAAGCACGCTGAGGCACATCCTCTTTATAGGAGGAGTTGGTGTCGCGGTAAGATGCTGACAACAGGGGAACTGATGTCAGGGGAGGGGCTGATCGCCTCCAGCATGGCTCCATATTGATTCAGAAAGACCACCAGCTGCCCCCTGTCCCTACCTCCAGCCCCATCCCCTCCAGGGCACCAGAAGATGCCAATTTGGGGCCCACTGCTCAAAACTTTGTGAGCTGTTTCCTAAAGGATGCTGACACAGGCTTTGGTGAGATGACATTAACTTTACCTGAGTTTTTCCCCCTCTCCAAGAGAGTCAGAGAATTTGGGAGTAACTTGTAAAGATTCTGGTGGCAGTGCTATCATTAAAATGCCTCACCAAGCGCTGAGCACACTCTTCTTTTCATTTTAATTTTTAGCTGTTGCTCCCTTCCCTCCCCTGCAAATATTGTTCCTTATAAGAATGTCTCCACATTTCCATTCCAAATGATACCTTCCTTTTTAAATTCAGAAAGCTCAGAGGAGGTAAATAATAAATACTAATAGTAAAGAATAAATAACAATAATAATAGTTACAATTAACTCTCATTAATTCTCACAACCACTGTAGGAGACAATATTTTTATCCTCCTTCTACAGATAATGAAACTGAGGCTTGGCATAGTTTAGTAACGTGCCCAAGATCACACAGTTAATAGATGGCGTATGTGGGTCTCACACCTTGGGCTGCCCGGCCTCTGCTACCTCAGGAGACCAAGAGCAGAATGAGGGGTCCATGTGGCCGCTGCCCTCTTCCCACCAGTTCACACTGAGGCTGCTTCTCCTGAGGCCAGATTTTGAGTTGGAGAATCCCCAACCCTTTTTGAAGATTGGCCAAGTGTCCCAACCGTTTTGCTGTTAATGGTGGACAGAGCACAAATGTGCCATGGCTCAATGGTAGAGGGGGATGGAGAGTCAAAAATCACATAACAAACCTTGGTTTTTGGGTCAGATTGGCTGGAGGAACATATCCAGGCTCTGTACCTTTCAGGCTGTGCAACACTGGGTCAGTTACTGAACCTCTCTGAGCCTTAGTCTACTCATCTGAGAATAGAGACAGCAATGGCACCTGTCTCACATAGTGATTAGTGATTAGGTAAGCCTTAGTGATTGGGTAAGATAATGTGTATAGCCTCTGGCACAACACGTGGAAAATGTTAGTTTTCTTCCTTTTCTCTTCCAAGATGGGGCAAGTTCCGGGCCCTAGCCTGGGCAGTGGAGGAGTCTCAATATCGGCTAGTGAAGAAGGCAAGGCTACAGGGACCTCCTAAGGAGGAGTGGCGGGAGCATTTCAGGACACAAAGCAGGGACAAGGACACTCCTCAGTTCACATTGTCTATGGTGACAATATCCTTACTCGCCATCTGCCCATCTCACCCCCGACCAGTGCTAGGATTCCCTGAAAAATCAAATGCCTGTCTCATATTCAGCCACCACCTGCCTCGCATCCTGGATTCAAAATTGGAGACGTGGCATTCTCAGCAGAGAAGCCTCCCTCCCTTCATTGTGTCCAACAATCCTTTAATACCTCCACACAGCAGGCCGTTTTCTGGGGGAGCCTCTGCCCTGTAGCTCTGTGACAGTCTCCCCAGCCTCCCAGACCACATTCCTCTGTGACATTTAGCGCAGCATATGGAAGGGATCATCTGTCTGTCTAGACTGTGAGCTCCTCGAAGGGCGGACACCGAGTCTTAGGCATCCTTGCAGCCCAAGTGTAGAGCAGCGTCTGGCATGGAATCATTGGTAAATTTTCTTCTTCAGTGAACTGTGAGTGACACAAAGATGAATTAGACCTACCCTCAGGGAGCTGACAACGTAGGTGTCAGAGACTGTCCCACCTTCACAACTTAACACTCAAGACTTGTGTGCTAACCACACAAAAGAGGCACAACTTAAGGGCTATGGGGCACAAAAGAAGTCAGAGTTGCTTCTGCCTGAGCAACTCAAGGAAGCCTCTATGGATGAGGCAGCATGTGACCTGGGACACATGGTAGGTGGGACCAGCACCTCCTGCTTCTCAAATCTCCGTGTGGCTTAGACGGTAGCAATAGCACATGTGATATGGGACCATATTGTATGCTCCCCACTGAGGTCTCATACTTTGCAAACAGCTCTGCTTTCTCCCTTCTCTCATTCACAGGGGACCCCAGCGTCTGCTCCATCTCCAACCCTGATTTTGTCATCTACTCTTCAGTAGTGTCCTTCTACCTGCCCTTTGGAGTGACTGTCCTCGTCTATGCCAGGATCTATGTGGTATTGAGACAGAGGAGACGGAAACGGATCCTCACTCGACAGAACAGCCAGTGCATCAGTGTCAGACCTGGCTTCCCTCAACAAGTAAGCACCCTGGAGGGGCAGAGAGAGACCATACTCAACCCCGTGGCCTCCCAGCCTTGTGTCCAGCAGTGCATGCTTTTGCCTGTGCTGCCCATGCCACATTGATGACACCCATCTGACGCCCACCTTTTAATCTACTAGTATTGGCTATGCTTTAGAGATAGGAAATCCAATCTCAAAGTGCGTTGATCCTCTTCCCTAGAGCACCCTGCACTTGGCAAGATGATAGGAAAGTTTCTGGGCTTGTTCTGCTTCTGTTCAAAGTCTTTCATCACCCGCAAATGGCCAGCAGTTCAGACGTCACCTAGGGTTTGAAGTTTTAGTGTAGCAGCTGTACCATGCACTGCTGGTAGGTTCCCAGGACTGACTTTTGGGCCGGACCACTCATTCCAAGAATCATCATTTGGGGTCCATCAAAACCTCTTTTCTTTACTAGATCTGCCCCTGTGTCAAGGCACTGACCTTGGTGGAAGGGGATGCTGATGCTGCATTTTATTGAGTCTTCCTAGGCTCTGAAAAGGAAGGTCATTGCCTCAGCACTGACCTTCCAGTTGCTTGGGCTGTAAATTCTGCCGATCTCAGTACCTGGAATATGGTTCTAGATGTACTTAAAGCATGAATGGATGAATACCAATCACTTACAATCTGCTAGGGAAGGGAGAGCAGGAATATTATCCAGCTTTTGCCTTTGTGGAACTTAGAATATAGACAAGATAACAAAGCACACCTCCACCCAAAGTTAATGAACGGCCCCAAACTGAACGGATGTTTGCGAAATGTGAGATAAAGACAATAAGCACCTAAATCGTTAAGTGCTGTGGAGGTTATGAGAAGAAAGAGGTCAATATGCTCAGGAAAGGGCCTCAAGGACGGAATATGAACTGAATTTGATCTTGAAGGCAGGTCCAATTTGAATGTCGAGATCAACCTATAGTGACCTGAGTGATCATCAGACTGTTGAAGTCCAAGTCCCAAGGCTTAGATAGAACAAGAATATTGGCACCTATGAAATAAGAAACCAGGATCCAAGGTTGAGGATATAAACATATTGTATTCAAAGCATTGGCATCTATATGGCTCAACTATGTAGAACATAACCCACAACTGTTTCTCCTTCAACCCACCCTAGTCTTCCTGTCTAAGGCTGCACCCCATTCGGCAGTTTTCATTAAGGGCCAGATTTCCATCAGATGCCACAGGGAAAATGGTAAGTAAGCCATGTCTTTGATTGTAGGAAAAGAATAAGAGACCTTTTCTCAAGATGCTAGCCTGACTTGATTCCACTGCCACCCCAAAATGGAATCTAGCCCCCATCCCGCACTGTATCTATAATATATGACGGATCTGAGATCCTGCCTGATTTGAGCTTCAGAATTGGAATCATCAAACGATATTCAGAAAGCATGTGACTGTTGGACTAAATCTCAAGGACTTTTGGATGTGATATGAAGATGCCATCTAGAACCCCCTGTATTAGAGGGAAAAGGGCATCAATGAAACATACATGAGTGGGGCCAAGGAAAGCAGAGAAAGAAAACTAATGTGAGACTTTCAAGTGTTGTATTTGCCATTGAATTTGGGAAAAGCCAAGACAATTTCATGGTCACCCTAATCCATGTCCTTCCAATTCAAGCCAGCTCTGCCTTCCCAAGCAAGCCAAGTGCAGAGTGGAGCTTGAAAGTGTTAAATATGAGACCAGTACTCTTCTGCCTGAACCCCACAACCATGTAAATATTAGGAATAAAACTTCAAAGACCCATAGTGATGAAGATCTGAGCATTGTTCGATTTCTGTATAGCTAAATAACCACTTTTTACACAGGCCTGGTCTGGGAGTTAGAGATTCTTGCTGTAAATGATTTTTAAAAACTAGATAAGAGGTGTAAGTTTGCCTATATCAAATCTAAGGTCTGAGGAGGTTCCAAGCCCACAAGGAGGAAAAGTGGCGACCACTAAGGAGAGACTGGAGAAGCAAGAGGCTGGCAGTGCCAGGAGTGTGGAAAGATGGGTTCTGTCCTGCCATCTGAGAGTGGAGGGCTCTGCCAGCAAGAGGAAATCCAGTGTTTCCTCGTGTCAGTCACAGAGGTGGTATAAGGATTTGCAGAGAGAGCTGAAAAATACACTCACCGATACACACTCTTGGAAGACTCACTCTCCTTCTGTAGGGTTGAATTCCCACATCTGTAAAATGGAGGCAAGGTGAACTAGCTCCATGTTCTCAAATCTGAGATTTCATACACGCTCTTAAAAATTTGTCCCCATCCCTTAGATTCAGAAATCATGCATTAGAAGTTAAATATTGTCACTTTTAGAGATCACTAGATGCCAGCACCATCATAAACATAATCTTGGTTATAAATGATCATTCAGATAAAACATCATATGTTTGTATAATTATCAGAAAACCTCCTCAAAATAAAAACCCCCAAATTTTTAAATATATGATACTAGAATCCCTATGAATAAGTCTGTGGAGCACATTTTTAAAAATACTGTATCATCTTGAAGGCCTCTTGCATTCCTGCATTCAGAAATGTTTCTGGGTGTGCACAGTGTCCTAGCATCATAGATCTGGAAGACTGCGATTCCTTGAACTAAGGAGAGAGTAGTGAGGGTTCTTGGTTGCTGACACTGACTAACTTATATGGAAAAAGAAATTTATTGGAAGGAAATCAAGTAGCTCAGACTCAAGGAGAAGGCTGAAGAACAGCTTCAGAAGATACTATTCATGCCTAAGGAGGAATCTAGCTAGAAGACCTAGGACACTGGACATTAGCTGTCACCACTGCCAGATGAATTCCGAAGTCTCCCTGCTTCACTGGCTCTAATTCAAGGTCTTAGGTGCAAATCTCCAACTGGCTAGGCTTGGTTCTTGTGCCAGAGTTCTAGCTGCCCGGCGGCAGAGTTGAGGAGAATGAATATCCGGCTTTTAGGATTTCAGTACTGAGAGTTGAATGGTCCTGCTGCTACTCAAGATTGACACAGTCTGATTCTTCAAACATGGAAAGAAGTTCATACGCTAAGCACACACGCCTCCCCGCAAAGTACCAGAAACCTCCACATATTTTCAGTTTTCTACTCTCGGAGTCTACTCGTCCCAAACCTATTTTTCCCAATTTATTTTGTTTTACAAATGTGACTCTGAGACATTTAATTAACTTGCCCAAGGATGCATCTACTATGTAGGAAAGCTGAGATGAAAATCCTGCGTTTTCTTTTGTTTTTTAACTTTCGCTATGGAAAATTTCAAAAGTAAAAGAGTAGAAAGACAAATATAACAAATCCTTCAGTAGCCATCAGCCAGCTTCAGCAATTATCAGCTCATGGCCAATCTTATTTCATCTCCACTCCTACCTACATTCACACCCCTCCACCCCACTGGATGTTATGATGCAAATCCCAAACATCCTGGCATTTCAACCAAAAATATTCTGTAAGACTCTCTAAAGGATACAGACTCTCTTTTTTTCCTGAGGAAGATTAACCCTGAGCTAACATCTGTGCCAATCTTCCTCCACTTTATATGTGGGTCGCCACCACAGCATGGCTGACGAGTATTGTGGGTCTACACCCAGGATCCACACCCGCTAACCTGGGCTACTGGAGCAGAGTGTGCCAAACTTAACCACTGCACTATGGGGCCAGCCCTGATTCAGACTCTTTTATAAAACACATAACTACAATACATCACACTAAACAAATTTATAATTCCCTAATATCAGTAAATATCCAACCAATGTTCAAATTTCCCCAAGAGTGTTGTAAACTTTTTATAGTTAGTTTATTTGAATTAAAATTCAAATAAGATCCATACTTTGCAAACGGTAATTGTTGTTGTTGTTGATCCTATGCTACTTTCCTTAAGGGATTATTGTGATTCTCAAATGTTCTATATCTGGTAAGTGCTTTTATGTTGTAAAGTCAGAAGCAGATTTCATTTACCTTAACTTTCCATGGTCCCACTACTCTCGGATGTGCCCTCCGTAGGTTTCACACAATGACAGTTTCCTCTTCCTTCTTGACATTCTCGTTCCTTTTCAGGAACATTCAGAAAATAAACAATATTCCCCAGAAATGTCAGGACCCTCTCTTGTCGCACCTGCAGCCCCTGTCCCCTGGCCGGGCACACATGGAGCTGAAGCGCTACTATAGCATCTGCCAAGATACTGCCTTGGGGAGACCAGGCTTTCAAGAAGGAGGAGGAGAGCTGAAAAAGGAGGGGAGGACTCGGAACTCCCTCAGCCCCACCATGGCCCCCAAGCTCAGCTTAGAGGTTCGAAAACTCAGTAACGGCAGGTTGTCGACATCCCTGAAGCTGGGGCCACTGCAACCTAGGGGAGTGCCCCTTCGGGAGAAGAAGGCAACCCAGATGCTGGTCATTGTGCTTGGTGAGTCTGGATGGGTCGAGCTGGGCTGGGTTGGATTAAGTTGGGTTAGGTGGAATTTGGTAGAGCTGGCGATGGGTACTAAGTTAACCACATTTAGCAGAAATTGGAAATCCATTGACTGTAATATTTATAAATGTTTATAATACAGTTGAAAAGTATTTATGTGTATGTTAACTCTAGTGGAAATTCAAAAGACCTAGAGTGAAATTTATGAAATATGAAACTGAACAAGTGACCTAATTGAGCTGTGTTTACCCATTGTGTTTGTTGTCTATCAAGTGGAGTTATAATGGGTAAATCAAATAATAAGTAAGATGATTCGATGAAATATCTGGCACATATTGGACAATTAGTAAATGCTTACTTATTCTAAAATATTAAGTGAAAAAATAGAGATGCAAAAAATACTGTCATATGGTATGATAACATCCAGCTTATTTTAAATACAGAGGAAAAAACCTGAAAATTAATTCACCAAGATGTCAAAAGTAATTGTCTTTGAGTGGTGGGTGGTTATTTTTCTTCTTTCTACTTTTCTGTATTTATCACATTTTTCATAATGTACAAAACCAGGGCTAGTTTTCTAGTACAAAAATAAAAAATTTATTGAAAGAAAGAAAGAAAAATGGATAAGTCACAGATATCATACAGAGTTAGTGACGGCAGTTCATGCTGTTGGCTGTCACTGAAAAGCCTCAGTTTCTCAGATCTTAGAGACTATGAGAACCGCTAGACGTAATCTCCTCAACAGCAGGAACCGTGTCAATTGCGTCTTTAAGGTCTCCTTCCCTAACAGTGCCTAGGATCAAGTCCTGCATGGCTAGACATTAAGTAAATATTTGAATTGAATTGAGAGGTAGAAAAGACTAGTAAAGAACTACCTAATGATCAAACTAGAAAACTGATTTTAAAAACAAAGGCCTGAGATGAATCCAAGACGTTAACATGTAGTTTTCTCATCCAAAACAAAAAGTGGCTAATCACACCCACTCATAGGCCTGGTATAAACATGAAATGTGTACGTAAAACTTCCAGCATAGTGGGTGGCGAGAACAGCCATGAGTCATTTTCATTTATAATGAAAGGAGTAAGTAAACCCCTTACCCAGTTTCTCTGTTTCTTTGCAACCTAGGGACCTTCATTGTCTGCTGGCTGCCATTCTTCTTGACCCACGTTCTCAATACCCACTGCGAAGCATGCCACGTGTCCCCAAGGCTTTACAGTGCCACAACATGGCTGGGGTACATGAACAGCGCCCTCAACCCTGTGATCTATACCACCTTCAATGTCGAGTTCCGCAAAGCCTTCCTCAAGATCCTGTCTTGCTGAAGGAGAAAAGAGAACATCCCCTGTGCCCACCTTTAGCTATCAGGCCATTGGGCCACTGGCCAGAGCCCGCTCAGCAAGACTGGATATCCTCTGGCATGTGGTAGGAAGAAGATTCCTGGAGCCAGGACACCCTGAGTGGCAGGTTGTCACCAACTGCTTCCTCCAAATCAGAACGTTCTACCTCCCCAGCTAAAATCTGACTTCATCCTGGCAATCTTCAAGTGGTTGGGAGGCCCCTGAGTGATAAGCAATAATTCAGAAAGAAGCTGATAAAACATGACTTTACACATAAAAAAAATTGTCATCAGAGGCATGAGTCATTACCATGAAGGAAAAATGAACAGATCTCATAATTCTCAACTTGCCAGGGGTCCTTGAAATCTCAGCCAGTAAAGCATCTTGCAGAACAGCCAGTCTCTCTTCCTTCAAACCTCTAATTAACTGTCAGGCTAACCTTGTACTTTGGTGGGCCCGCTCTCTTTGGTCATTCTTTTCATTCATTATATCCTGAAATATAATGGCGAGGCCAGTGCTTCTGCCTCTCAGCAGAATCTGATTGGCTACATTTGGTGAGGGAAATTCCTCACGCTGAGGGGACATTGTCCCACATTGGGACCTGGACTTCATTTCAGACCTTGCTACCCTTGTATTTTAGCTCTAGCTAAGAAGGCCCTTTGATTCCATTTCCTTACTTTCAGAGTCTCAACTCCAGAGTAATTCAAGATGGGGATGTTAAGTAAAAAAGGAATGACAGTTCCTCCTGTGGTTTCACTGGTGAAACTTGTGGTTTAGAACATGGCTTAGATGCTATTCATAAGTCTATAAGGTTTTTCTACCCAGTCATCTCCAACTCCTACTTAACAGAAACCCAAAACTTCCAGACCCTGAAACCCACTAAGTATTAAGTGTATACAAAGTGCCAGTCACCTGCCAGGTTCTGGGTAAAAGACAATGAATAAGACAGCTCCTGCCCTCAAGGAGCCCACAGCCTACTCCTGTGTTTGCCCATTTACTAAAAGGTAGTAGGGACTCATCTGGACTGCCAGAGGACCTCAGAAATGAGGGCACCAGGCAGAGTACCTGTCTGAAGCCATCACACAGACAGTCTTTGCAAAGTCCTAGCGCAGAACCTAAACATCACCACTCCAACAACTGAGATTAAAGGCATAATAAAAATGATGTGTCAATGTCATTCAAAATTGCGTTTAGAGAGAACTTGAATATTCTTTTACCTTTTCACCTACAGAAGCTATTTTTTATTGATTACAGAAATCAAGATACAACTTATGGATAATTTATAAAATGTTATCATCCTGAACTTCAATAAATTTACTGTTCAGAACTGTTAGGTCATAGGCATGACAGAAACCTGCTGCAAGGCTGTTAAAATTTTAAAGTGGACAAGACCTTTACAAGGAATCCAAGACTTTCTTGGCCCCGTCTTTATTCCTCTCACCCTTAAGTGTGTAAGAAGAAAACATATACCCCCAGTGAGCCAGTTACCTGTTACTCCTGCATGCTTTCAATGAGAGCATTTTTTTTAAAGGTATGTTTTTTGGTGAGGAAGATTGGCCCTGAGCTAACATCTGTTGCCAGTCATCCTCTCTTTTTTTTCTCCCCTAAAGCCCCAGTACATAGTTGTATAACCTAGTTGTAAGTCATTCTAGTTCTTCTATGTGGGATGCTGCCACAGCATGGCTTGATGAGCCATGTGTAGGTCCAGCCCAGGATCCAAACCAGTGAACCCCGGGCTGCCAAAGCAGAGTGCACAAACTTAACCACTTGGGCACGGGCCCCACTGCCAGCATTTTTTAAACATTATCGTCTATAACAATGTTTTTGTTGTAACTCGGTGTGAAAATTCTGTGTTCCCACTAGTTCTTGGACCTTATGCCATCTACCTCAGTAGGTTTGTGGTGCAAGCAGAACTGGGGACTGAGACAATTAAATATTTGAGAAGTCAAAGTACACAATTCCTAGGTTTTCCAAACAAACAGCAAACAGGAGTAACAATGGGGTAAAAGATCATAGAATTCCATATCAAAATCAGAGTTCTAAAGACAGAATGGTAAACAGCATCAGTATTAATATGTGTGTGAGAAATGTTAGCAAATAGTTTGTATCCTTTCTTTACATCAAGTCATTAAACCCTCATGATAACCTCAGGAAGATAAATTCCATTTTGTAGATGAGGAAACTAAGGCAGAGGGACATTAAGAAATTTGCCCCAGGTCACACCCTGTCAGAGAGTGGCAGAGCTGGGATTCAAATGTGCCTCTATCTGATTCCCAAGCCCATGCAATTAACCATGGCACTCTGCCTCCCACCAGAGAGGTAAAGGGGTAGGGAGAAAAAATGGGGAGAACAAGATGGAACAAAGATCCCTGACAGGGCCTCACCCTACCCCACCCACCACCCCTAGACTTTCCTAAGAACCCAATCCAAGGCATTGCTCACTCTCCTGCCACGTTCAGTTTCTGAAACAGTCGCATGAGAAATCCATAATCTGTTTCTATAGAATCGTGGAACAGTCCTTAGAGAGTATTTGGTTCTACCCTTTCCTTTATTTATAGAAACTGAGGCCCAGAACTGTTGTCGCATAGTTGGTCAATGACAGGCAAACACTCAAATGTGCTGAATCCTAGTTCAGTGCTCTTTCTAATCTACTGCATACCCCAAGAGCCCTATAAACCTATAGACTCTACACAGACACATGGAGAAAGTCCTATCGTCACCTCCACCATTAAACTGAGAGGTGCTTTTTTCCCTAGGCAATGCCTATTAGGGGACAATGTCTCCTTCCCAGAATTTTCTCATGATCCAGGAAGCGCCTCCTAGGGGAATCCCAATCACATCTCCCAAGGACTCGCTTTAGCTTCTTCATCCTGGGCTTCGTCATCCTAACTCCTCCACCTCGACACTGCCCACCATGAACCAGCACAGTTAACCTCAGGGCTCCCACTTTCAGAGCCAGCATGGCCGAAACTCCCAGGAGACATTTTGGCCTGAATGAAGCAGAGCAGAGTTCTTGCAGCAAACCAGTTATAGAGCCCAAAGAAGCCTCATAGCTGCCCATAGTAATTGGGTGAAATGCAAATAGTATGGAAATCCAAATAGACTACAACCAATGTTCAACTCTAGACTTTAAGGAAGTATTTCCTTCTTCCAGGACACCATCCTTCAAAACTCCACTGATTACTCACTTACTAAATCAACCACTTATTCAGTAAATGTTGATTGTTCACCTTGTAAGAGCCAGGCACTGTGCTTGGTGCTGGGAAACATGATCAAAGAAGACTTGGTCCTTGCCCCCAGAAGCTTGTAGTCCAGTAGGGAGGTAGAATTTATGTGTATGGCGACGATCTGCTTGTTGTCTATAGTAAAGGGAATTCATGGTATTTGGGAGTCCCATATTCAGCCTTTAGAAGGCTTCCCAGAAAGTATTGTCAGGGTGGAAACATAATTAAAAAGGAGGACGGATGTTCCAGGCAGAGAAAACTTCTGAAGAGCTAAAGATAAGAACAAGCAAGGAATCTCAAATAATTCCATCTGGCTGTAGAGAAGAGACCCTAGGGATAGGACTGGAAAGGGAAGGGCCTCATTGGAGAGCTCCTCCAGCTCTGCTCAGGTGAGCTCTGCTCACCTCTCACAGAAGACCTCTAGATCTTGCCTCCGCTTCCCTCCATGTGGGCAACACACATCACAGAACATCCATCGCTGACTTACATAACTACTTCTCTCTGAGCTACAGTGAATTTCGACAAATGCAGAATTCTATTTGAATTCTTTGCTCTTTTCTTTACAAGACGGGGAATGGCCAGTTGAATGGATGAAGAGTCAGAGATGATTAAAATTAAGGCAGTTCAGAGGGTTTGGATCAGAAATTGAGGGAAGTTGGGCAAATAGATTTGTTTTCCTGAATGCTTGGGTCACAGGTAAACAGAGAGGCAGAAAGGTTAAGGGATTTGCTCAGAACTGGCTGTTTCCTGGAGGTCCTGACTCCCAGGCCTGTGCTCTGATCATTTGGTATCTGCTAACATCAGAAAACTGAAAAAGCTTAATCTGAATCAACACACAGAGAGCAGAGAGGGGATGACAGGCAATTAACTTGATTCCACCTTTCTACCTAATTCTCTCAACAGCTCAGGAAGGGAGTGAGTTTCCATGACTACCTTCTGACACAGAGACTCCGCTGAGGGTGATGCAGTGTCAGCTCGGCTCCATGGCACACACTGGCAGAGGCGGAGCCCGGGCGTTCGTGCCAAGCACAAGACCTGAAGCCCCTTGCTCCACACACTCTCTCCTCAATGAATCACCAGCCTCCATCATTGCACATTGAGTCTCTGCTTTCTGCAGTCTGCTGGGTACTGGGAGGAGAGGCAAGGTGGCCATAGGCCTTTGAGAATGGAGGTGCCCCAGAGGGGCAGCTGGGCTGAACACAAGGTGGCTCTGACCACCTTATGGGAAAAACAATGCATAGAAATGAGTCACGGGAGTGCCAGCATAGACAAGTGTTTCACCTCTGTGAGCCTCGACTTCCTCATTAATAAAATGGGGGACCTGAAAGCCTGGCCTTCCTCACTAAACCATTGAAAGGTTAGATAACATCATGTGTTAAAAGTGCTTTGTCAACTATAAAGCTCTGACAAATGTAAGAGATGATGATTATCATTGATTTTATTATTATTTTCCCCGTAAGCAGCTGTTTCTATCACACCTATCTGGTTCACAGCCCCCTTTTCTTTCTCTTTGCTGATTCTCTAATTGCCTGAAGTGTTTAGGCATAGACTGTCCGCCTCCCACGTGAAATCTGAGTTTTCTCCTGTCTTTTATTCCTTAAATGTGCCCAGGATACTTGGCTGAATTTGTGGTCAAACTTTTAGGCAAATGGATAGCCTCTAACAGGATGCCTTTTCCCTGTTCACACAGCCAAGTGCCCCAGTATGGCCGACCTAACACCAGGCTAATGGCAGATACTTGCTTGCTAAAGATTATCTTGGGTCCTTTATTGCTCTCCTGGCCAGGGAAGGAGGAGCAGAACACATCTATTCCTCAAGGCTTTCCACCTTTGCTCTCATGATGTCTGAGCCTAACACTTTCCTCTCTTCCTTCCTGAGAGAAGAGTGTT